AAAAAAGATAAAATCTGGTTTTAGAAATTGGATTTCCAAAGGTAGGGATGGGTGTAATTTCCACTTATTGGATTATAGACATTTACATTAAGAAATTGTTTAACCCCATTAAAATTGTAATTCATTTTCATTTCTCTTCTTATCAACCATATTTTTCAATAAATTAATATTACACGTAAATCTTTTAAAAAAAAAAATTAAAAAATCCTTCCTTTTAACCATACATTTAAAAAAAAAAAAAAAATCATTCCAAAAATTATAATCTCAAATAATGGAGGTCAAACATGAACTAACTCATTAAGTTTGACACCTCTACATGTCGTCCAAATTTGTGCTATTGATTATTTAAAGTGTTGTTGATACCAATTTGTGAAGAGCTGTCACACTATAACAATATTAAACTTAATGTCAACAAAGATGTACATATAGCATGATTGACCATTATTCGAACTTTTTTTTTTCTACATATTCATTTTCAACCACACATTCACACAATAAAATATTATGCATGTAAATCCAATTTTTTTTTAATCTCAACCCCTTGAATGGTTGTAGTTCCGGGGCTCAAATGTGTCTACAGTCGTGAGGTTAGACACTCGATTTATGAATTGGAAACCTATCTCCACAGCAAGCTCCTCAAATTGACCTCGGTCCGTAGTTCTTTAAAAAAAATTACTATTTAAAACTTCATTTTACCTCAATAATGATTGTCAAATTATGGCTAATTTATCCAATACATAATCCAAAAAAACTGATTGCGAGAAAGTAAAGTCAACCATCATTATTTGATATTATAATTTTTAGAATAATATATTTTTAAAGAATTTGTAGTTAAAAAAGAATAATTTTATTTTATTGAAAAATGTGATGGAAAACGAGGGAGAAAAATTGATTATAATTTTAATGGGCTAAACGGGGGGCTTAGTGCACAGCCACAGCCCACAGGATCCAAAGCCCAAAGCCAATCCACGCCATCTCCAAAAAAACCTCCATTATTGTTCTGCTCCACAGCTTCCATTTTCCGTTTCTGGAACTCCACGTACCAACAAATACTACACAAATTCGGACACTAAAATACCACTACCCATATGGAATCCATCGCGACCATCGCCACCTCCCCTTCTTCTCTCCCAATTTTCTC